TTTCTCGCCGCTGCCGCGGCTTCGCGGTCTCCTGCAGCGCTGCTGGGGCCGGCTGGAGCGCGGTCTCTTGCCGGGTTTCTCCGGGGGCCAGAGCCCGCCCTGGGGTAGGTACTGGTCTGTTCTTCTCTCGGCTGAAGGAGAGGGCGGCATCGGGGCTGCAGGACTCATTTTTACCGTTGAACGGCTGAGGGAGGGGACGGGAGCAGGAGATCGCGCAGCCCTGGGGACAGTGAGGGAACGGGGCGGGAGGGGCTGGGGGGAGCGCGGCTCTCCTCTCCTTATTGTGGAAAACCTCCTCTCTTTGTGGGGTGGCAGTAGCGTCCATGTCCTATTTCCCCGGTTGCACGCGGAAAGGGAGGCTGGGTGTAATGAATTACCTTGTCTTTTTCCTTCAGGACCAGCACTAGCTGTCCAAGCTCCAGTTTTTCTTCCACAATCAGTGAACGATACTGGTGAAAGTAATGAGGCTCCAAGCCTGTTAGATAGCATCTTGTGGATGGCGGCACCAAAGAAAAGGCGCACCATTGAAGTCAACCGCTGCAGGCGAAGAAATCCCCAAAAGCTTATAAAAGTAAAGGTAATCACCAAATTTCCACAGACTTGCCGCCTTATTCACTGCAAGTAATTTTGTTAATGGCAAACAAGCATGCCAGAGTAAGATTTACGCCAGTCATTTTTCCTCTCACTTATTTTAGGGAATCATTACAGTGGTCAATACTGACTGAAAAAGCTTTCTGGAATTTGTTTGTAAATAAGCTTAAAAGACATTGTAATCTTCAAAATTCTTTGTAACAGGGACATTCATCATGTAGTCAGTGCTTAAATAAACAGTGACAGTTTAGGTGCAAGCCAATAAAATGTGAATTTCAGCTAAATGGCTGGTATACATTTAAAAGGCCTATAGTTTCTGTGCATCTAATTGAGTCGGTAGGTCTTTAGTCTTCCAAACATCAACAGATATAATGTTTAAGTATTGGCTTCATAGGCTATTTTTAGTAGTAAGCATTTGACATAGCGATACTTTACAGAAAAATTACATAGCAGAATAAATTTTGAAAAGTCTATTGAATTTCTCTGGTATTTCATTTAACATTTTTAATAGTTTGTGATTGTTCCCTGTTTCTTTTGTTGCTGTTGTTCAAAGTACAAAATTTTCTATTTCCCGCTGTCTTTTTTAGACAAACATAGACGTTTGTCCTGAGTGTGGAAACGTGAAACAGAAACACGTCCTTTGTGGCTATTGTTATGCAAAAGTCAAAGCAGAAACTCGACTGATACGGATGGAAATATGTAAAAAGGAAGGAGGACCATTTAATGCTCCAACTGTAGAGACTGTTGTCCTTTATGATGGAGAAAAGCCCACAGAAAAAGATGAAGGCAAGCGGATCATTGAAAGATCCAGGAAGCGTCCATCTTGGTTTGTTCAAAATTGATGCTATAGAACAAATACTAACAAAAACAGTTGCTACAGCAAGAAAGATGATGATTTTCAAGAATGTTTCTTCATTCACTCAGTGTTGATACAGAAAGCCAATGAACTTTTGGGAAGCCTGCTTGAATTGCATGTCATACCATGTTATTTTGCAGTCAGGTGTTGTTTCTATAGCATGCAGTGGGAAATGCTTCTCAGTGATACGTCACAGCAGTCAACAATTAAAGAGAAATCAGGATGTGTCTTAGGTTTGGACATCTGCGTACAGTACACTGAATAATTTGTATGCCAATGTTCTATGCCGGTTTTGTAAATAACTTTTTTTTTTTTTTTTTTTTTTTAAACAAAGGGAAAACATTCACAGATATAAAATAAAGTACGTTAAGTTTCCCATGGAAATCTGCTTTTTGTTTTTGGCTGCTGCCGTTGGAGGGGGGAAAAAAGTGCAAACCCGGTGTGGATTGAATAGAAAGGATATTTACAAGCAAAGATATAGTTACTTGGTTATTTCCATGGCTGTTAACAGAATCTGCCTGGATCTCTCCCCAGTGCTACTGTTTGAGATACTTGGTGATATTCATGTTTTTGAGCAAAATAATGGTTGCCATGTAGTATTTGCACTTTTTCCGTACCGGACTGAAGGTTAAGCGTTTCTTGCTTTTGTCAGTATACACAATAATTTTTTGTCTTAAAGGGATATGGAAGGCCTTTTTTTTCCCCTCAAAATGCACTTGATTTCTTGAGTGAAATAATGAATTGAAATGTAATGAGTGGAAATCTGTACATTTGACAAGGGTCAAAGCTGATTCTTTGCAGCCATTGCCATTAAGTAGCCTGGGTGGTCAACGTGTGCTTGGAAAACCGCAAAGAACAGTGGTGCCTTCCTTCCTGGTTTGAGTCTTCTGCAGAGAGGGGGCAACTCTGCCCTCTACTGTCCATTGGTACTGTTCAGTGGTGCGGCTATGGCACCTAGCTGCAGATTTTCACTTCGGTTTTAGCCACACAGTAGCACTGTTGCATTTAAGATTAAGACTGTTTTAGGTTGGGATTTCAATATACAGACTGTACTGTTTGATATTATGGCTCAGCCAGTCTAATAGCTATTTGCTGCCAAAAAAATGCAAGCCTGCCCCTAACCATGGCTAGGTTGCCCCAGTGTTTCCTTGGCACTTGAGTGTATCTGCTCCTGTCCTGTCCTCTCCTGGTTTGGGGAGCTGTGCTGACAAAACTGTTCCATGGCTTTCTGTAGCTTGGTTTTTAGTGGGTACCTCCCTGTAGCTTGGCTTGTGTCAGGGTCAGAAAAGTGGCAACATGCACAATAGGAATATGAAAGTGGAGGACACAGGACCACGCTTTCGAGAATAGCCTTCATTTGTATGTGGCTGAGCCAATTATACCTGCTTAAGAGGTGGGCTCACGTGTGCTGTAATGCTTCACTTCTGCTTTCCTCACTCTGGATTCCACGTTGTGAAACACAACTGGTAGGAACAGATGTTAGCAGAGATGTAACATTTCCTCCATAGTCTAAGGGCATAATGAAAGCTGATACATGTAAATTGGTGTCATTTGGTTGACAGTATCCAAGCAAACAACTTGGTTTTGAGAACTTAAGTTCTTTTCGATTTGTCCAAACAAGATTTGTTCCAGTCGTATCTGGTTTTCACTTACTCAGAACTGAAGCCAAGAAAAGGTAGCAAGCAGGATGTAGAGTGGAAGGCTTACTTTTGACAGAGCTACATGGGAGGAGACTGACATACTGGAGGGGTGATTAGCCAAGCAATAAGACATATAATTTAGGGAGAGTTGGACTATTATTTTTTTTGTTTCTTTTTTATCGGACCAATTACACCTTACTGACTTAGTTGCTCTTTATGTATTTATATTTTTGACAAAGGTTCTGTAGAGAAATAAGCTAAATTAGCCTGGGATGTTGAGAGTCATGGGTTAATTTCTCTGAAACACAGAGATATTCTTTAAAAAAAAAAAAAGACTATTTTTCTCTAAACATGAGAGAGGACGTGGTTTCTGCTAATGGAGTAATAATTAAAATTGGCAGTATATTGCATTAGTCTATTGAATTATAGTATCAGTGAAGCAATGAAGATGCTTTACAAATAGAATTCTTATGAAACATGAGTGAAGTTAGGCTGTGTCAGCACTAGACTTTTTAGCATACTTGCCGGGTCACAGTTGGGTAATGATTTCACAGCCATGCTGCTTATGTTAGTACTGCATTTGTGCAATCCAGACAAGGTAATGTTTCATAGTGGTTTCTGAATAATGTGGGAGGAAAAAGTCATTAAAATATCTGGTATTCATGGTCTGTAAAAGAAAAATTAGGAACAACTCACAAATATTGAAGATTTGCATATGCAATTGATATAGTACCAGTTCATTTTCCAAAAAAAGACATTATCTTCAATGAGAATCAGGACAGTTTAGCTTGAATGACTTTTTCTTCAAAAGAAGAGTAAAGGAAAGCTCATTTTCATAGCTTTGTTTTATTAACGTTGACAATATAAAGCTCCATTACTTTTTTAAAAAAATAAAAAATTTCCAGAATTCCTCTAAAACATGTGGCATAGTCTGTTACTTGAGATAAACCCTGTTTATATGTAATTGTGAAATAAATATAAATTGCAATAATGCTAATGTATAAACATACACTTTTCAAAACAATGTAAATTAAAACTAGCAAAAAGCAAGCTGGTTGTTACAAACGCTGTACTTCAGAATCCATTTAAAAACAAAAATTACATGCCTTGGGAATTTCACTTTGGGAACCTGCTAGTAGTTGAAAAATGTGTTCTTTTTTGTCTGCAAATTTCATGTGATTAAATACATGCTGTATTGGATTATCTTTTTCATCTATAAGGATTTTATGTAAAAAATATTTTATTTTACATTTTAGAAGGAACCAGGAAGATGATGTAATATCCTAAAATACAAGGATGCAAGTTGCTAAATGATTTTGTATCATACTAAGATCTGCAGAGATAGAGGTGATCTCTGACAGTGATAAATTACGATATCCATAGAAGTTGATAAATCAAGTTTCTCTTTAATCTCCCATTCAGCAAGGGAATTTTAATAAACGGTTTCTGCACAGTCCTCACCTAATCTGTTGAACACACTATGCCAGCAAGAGCTGGCAGTTAATATAAAATATATTTTTTCAAAGCACTAGGTGGCAGAGGAGTGTAGCTCTCTGGTAAGTGCAAGACAAAAGCCAAAGATCAGTAGTGAGATAGGAAACAGCGTCAGATTCAAGAAATTCGCACCTGTGTGAGCAAAAGATCTGCAAAAAGACTGAATTTGCTAAGTAGGAAGAAAAATACAATAGTTGCTATGAGACATTAACTAACCTATTGCAATTCATTGTTCCAACTAAATTTAATTAGATCTATACTGAGAACTAATGTGCTGGGGTTTGTGTATATTTATGCACTTCTGCTCTTTGTTGGGTGAATTATTTGAAATCGCAGTTGTACCTATCATTTTTCCCTAATAAGATAGTGGAGCTCTTTTTACGCCTCTTAATTGTAGATGGCTTTCTATGTTGCTTTGAATGCCTGGTATATTCAGTTAGTTGACATGTTATTTATGCAGCTACAAAGTCCTGCAAATAATAGATCTGGCGGCATTCCAATGAATTTCTATGTAAAATTGCCTTGAATTTGTAGAGTCGTAAGGATCAATTTGCAAAAAGCAGCCACAAAGTGGAAAGAAAAGAAAAGAAAACTCACGTGGTGTTTAAATGAATATTAGTTGCTTGGAAGGGAATAGAAGATTGTATGCTCCATCCAAGTTTTAAGATGTTTTGGAAGCACACGAGTGATAAAGGTGCCTATATCTTTAGAACTTACTTGTTAATTAGTGTTTAAGTAAGATATTAGCAAAAATCCTTCTTTTACCTCACATGACTGCCTTGTGTAATTTATACAGTGAATGAGGATCAGTAAATACAAGTTGTTTCCAAATAATATGCCTAACTCGTAACCTACCAAAGACTTTAAGAATGAGGCCAAACAGAGGAAAATCAATTAAAAGAATGAGAAGGAAGTAGGTTATGCAGCAGTGATGGGTCTAGTTTTGCCTACTCTATGTATATTCCTAGGAAATTCTGTTGAATTATTTTCTACTGACTTCAAGGCAGAATTTGGTCCTATGTACTGAAACCCTGGACATATGGATGTATGCAAGCATATATATGTATTTTAATGCAGAGCATATAGTTGTGAAACTACTGCTGAATAACAACAGGATTAGGTTTACAGCTGAAAACTAAGATTGCATTTGATGTATGTAGTAAATTGAGTCTAATCACTTGATATTTGAATTTCTTTCAAACATCCTATATTTCAGTTTCCCCTGGTTAAGGACAGCATACATATTTAGAAGAAAGGGTATAGGATTCATTTCATATTGAATGTGGTGGATAAATTTATGAAAAGCAAAACTGAAACTGCTCTGGAGCAGAAGACCCCAAACAGAAGCTTTTGTGGAGTTGTCAATGTGCAATATTTGGCAGGGATTTCTCTAAAGCCTCACTCCTAGGTCATGTGGGGTTTTTTTGTTTGGGGTTTTTTGTTCTGGTTTTTTTTTTTTTTTAAATCTGATTTCCTGGTTTTCAGATGGTGGGTCAAAGATGAAGCAGCAAAGATTTGGAAAATCATTAGGCAGAAAGCCAATCCTATGTATATATTTTCTTAAGTGTCATACCTTTTAAACCAATCCTATGCTTTTTGAAAATTAGGGAAATACATAGTGTGTTCTGATCATCCAAATACACAAGCATCCGGCTGTTTCCCTTGGTTTCTTGAAAGGGCACAGATTCTTCTCTGTACAAGGTGGTTCTGATGGAGTTGTTCTCACTACACAAGTGTATAGAAATGTTCTGTCTGACAGGTTCTGGGTATAAGCTTGATTAATCCTTTATGGGTCCTAAATTTGGGACCAGCTCATGAAGCTCAGGAGGAATAGGCATATTACATGCAGTGCGTGTCATGGTGTGGGAAGGACAATCAGTCCTTACTTACACAGCTGACATCATAGCTTTTTACACCCATTCCCAAGGTATACTAATGCTGTTTCTATTCCCAGCCCCATCACGCAGGCTCATCGGTTTGTCTAGCAATATGGCTTACAGCTCTATTTTCCATTATGGTGTAGCTCTAGAGCACATTATGTGAAATACTTCCAATGGAACTAGGGATTTTGAACAGGCTATTGGAAAGATGTATGTTTCATTTTTAATCTGGGATTAGTATTAAATACAAAGAATAGTGGTTTTAAA